TCCTAAAAGTCCATGAAAGATGGATTCTTGACTGCAAAGTCATACCAGTGAGATTTCTTTCTTAGCACTTTATCATTGTTTCTTTTCTTTTGTAAGGTCTTGATACCCATTTCAAATGCTTACCCTTGTCTAAATATTTAGTGGCCTGCACTGTTACTTACAGGTTGTCTGCAATTGCTAGGTCACTGTTTCTATTTATCTATAATAGCTTATTGCTCATTAACAGGCAGGATTTGTTGCTATACTTTCCTCCAAACTGCCTCATTTCTAAAACAGAAATCACTGTGGTAATTTTTCTATATTTTCTATATTTATATTTTATATAAATACTAGAATCTTTCTAATGGAATTTAGTAATCTACTCTAACTGAAGTACTTGGAAGTATTTTCATGGTAAGAAAACCATGCACTTAAAATGTTATAAACAGGCAATTTTTTCAATAGTTTTGACTAAGACCGTGGACTGTATGCAGTAGACAGGAAAAACAGATGTGTCACCAGAATTAGAAGACTATACTCTTCCTACATACAGTTCTTTGAGGAAGCCATGTGATGGATGAATAATTTGGCCTATTTAGGCATTGTAATTTTGTTCTGCTACAAGTGTAGAGCCAAAATGGATTCAGTGTTGCTCAAGGACAGTATTTCTGTTTAATTACTTTGTTTATTAAGTAGGAGAGTGCTTCTAGTGTCTATGTCACCAAAGTTTATATTTTCCATAATTTCTTTTTTTTTACACATTTGATTCAGCAATTCGTCTTTTCTTGAATGGTGCTTATTGATCTGACCTGTGAGTTAACAAAGATTCATTTTGGAATGGCATAGAGATCCATTTAGAAATGAAATGATTTAATGGTACTTATATAGAAAGCTTTTTGAAGTTCAGGAAGATTGCCAACGTGGAAAAATGTATTAGAAATGCGGAAGTGTGTTATGATAAATATGGCACTGTGATATAGCTGTGTGTATTCAGATTTATTTAAGTGTGTTATGATAAATATGGCACTCATAGGTGGGGTTAAAGGCTGTGATATAGCTGTGTGTATTCAGATTTATTTACTGCACAGAAATGAATCCCAAATGGCTATTTTTGCTTCACTGACTGTAATCACAGCAAGGCAGCCTTATAGACATCTGCTAAGGTTTTTTTTATTATTATTTGGTTAAGATTTTGAGATTGAGGTGAGAAAAATCCAACTGTCACCTAGAAATGACCTCGAGGGGGTTTCGCAGATTTGTCCAACGTGTTTTTCACAGATTTCTACAGGCTTACAAATATTCCTTGGTCCAAAGTGCTTCAGACTGTGGCTACTCATATTTTCTAAAAAGTAATGGACTGATATATGTGGTGTGTTGTTTAACCTTTACTCAGTAAAGCTTTTTTTCAAAATATGAAGGATAAGACCAAGGAGGGGACAAATTGCCCCACATTTTTCTTCAGTAGGTGTTGAAAGATGTACAAGTTAATCCACTGCATGTCTGCAAATAATTCCTTATGCTGAGTAGCCCCTCACATTCATAGCCTTTGGACTCACTCTCAGTACGTTAATAACCGTCATGAGATTTTGGGATATACTAGAACAATTTATTTCCCAGTGGTTTTCTTATCTAAACAAGATCAAATCTCCCTATCTTTATCTAGCCAGTATACTGTTGCAGTCTTGCTGCTTCCCAGTTAGAGAAGGAGGAAGGAGCGTACAGACCAGATAGCGCTTCCAACCGTGCTGTTGTTGTGCCACACAGTTATCCAACAGTAATAGCATGAAGCAGAAACATTTAGGTACTCTTTTCTTTTTCATTTAAGTAAATGCATGCTGATAGAATTCTAATGAAAAGGAATCAGAGCACAGGAGCGAGTGACTTATTATGGAAATTTTCTGTGATGCATCGTAATGTTGGATTTTCAATTTTTAAAAGTGGTTACATTCCTAATTGGCGAACAAAAAGGACCAATTTATCCCTTGCTATGAGAAACATTTTTCTTATATATTATTCTCATGAAGCCTCTAATTCAGCCAAACACATTATGTAAATGGAACCTATGAAATACCTTCTAAAATGTACATCAGATTTACATTACTCGACTGTTATGTTAGATTGAGCAAGGGCCCTTGTTACACTATATGGCAAATTTTTTGACTTTCATAGTGCTCTTTTCTAAAATAAATTGTGTTTGGTTCAAGCAAGGTTTCTATTAATAACCCTTGGGGATATCCTAAGTGAGTATTTACTAGCTTCACCTGGGCATTATGAACATTGTCTATACATCTTCATCTTTACTGATCTCAGGAACAATACTTTTATCTCTATTTTAAACTAGAAGTGCTTTCTTTTGATGCAAAATCTCCAAATGTTGGAATGCAGTGACTGTTCCAGTGCCAAATGAATTTGGATAAATCTGCATTGCATACAGATTGAGTTTGTCAAAGCCTTATGACACAGATACTGTGGGCTGCAGAATTATCAGGCAGTGTAATAGCTGTGAAAGCTAAGCTTTCTGACACACATTCAGACACAGTCAGAACCCAGACTTTTATCTAGTTTGTATGCATTGTTTATGAGTCTGATAGTGTTAAAAAGATAACACATTTGAACATTAATGTTGTTCCTAAAGATGCATTTTAAATGTGTACGTATATGGCTGTGCCCTTTCAGAAGAATATAATTTGATTTTAAAAAAAATTAATATATTAAGAAACAAAATTGATTATCACAAAATAATTTACATTAGTATCTAACTGTAGTAATTCATTTGTATAATGAAGTGCTGTTAGTCTTGGTTTTGTACAAGTTTAGGTGTAAGTCTTAATAATGCCATTTTCATTTCTGACCTGGGATTTTTAAGATGCTCAGCTTTTGATAGCTTTCTCTTGTGGATCTCTGCTCACACGCAAGATATATTGTGTCTTTGAAATGAAGATCAGAGAGGTGTGAATTTAGATCCAGGGAGCTTCCCATGAAACTAAAGATACTCAGGTACTGAAGCACTAAAAATGAGCATTAACACTAAAAGAGAGAGATCCATTAAAGCCATAGGCAGATTTGATTATATGTGCATTTCAGGAAGATTTCTTGAATTTACATTTGATTGGTGAGCCATGGGGACTTTTGCACCTTTGGGACAAAATAACTGCTCCTCTAGCTCTCTATAATGATTTTGGGACCATCCAGAGCTAAAATGATACAGATCAGCTTCTCATTTTGCCTTACAGCTGTCTTTTCAAAATTATTGTTTGTTACATTCAGAACAGCAAGTGGGCAACTAATAAGGATTAGTAATAGGGAGGTTTTATTTAATTCAGTTTTTAAGCTGCTTTATTCAACAAAATCCTTAAAACACAGAGATTATATTTTTGGAGATACCAACACACTGCCATGAATTCTATAGTATGTGCAACTCTAAAGCATATTCTCATGGAAGATTAAATGCTTATATAGAGTATCTGAAATTATTATTGATTACATTTTGGAGCTGTATTCACATATTGAAGGCTTGGTGATTTACTATTTCAGTGGGTTTTCAAAGCATCATCTAGCAGGATTTATAGAAGCTATAGCTGTATTGCTAACTAATGATTTTATCACAAGACTTGCTGTATTTGATGTTGTATTTTAATATCCATCTCCTGGAGTACAGTGAATATATAAGAATTCCTCCTTTTATTTTTAAAAATAAATCTCCTTCATCTTAGTTATTAAAAAAAAAGGAACATTTAACACATTTCTACCTGTGTTTGCTTGCAGATAAAAAAAAGGAGTTAAGTATTTCAGCATTTGAGTGGGAATCTCACTGTTCTTTTCAGCTTAATGCATCTCTATTTTTCCAATTTTGATACTTGAGGTTGGTATCTTTTCTCTCAAGGAGAAAAGATAAGCAAGCAGTATCGTATGACAATTACAGAACACATACACTTTTCAAAGGGGCCACAGTCATTATTTTGGAGTTGACAGTTATGTCCATCAGGAGTTAGCAGAAGTTAGCTTATATTAGAGCAATCTCATTACGTTTGTCACTGTGTTCCTGCAGTGAAGACACATTTCATGTGTATGTAATACTTCCTATCTTACTCATTTTCTCCTTCACCTCCAGTGTGCTGGTCCTGAGCAGGATTTTGGGAGACACTGCCTCTCCTTGCTGCAGCTACTGCTGGAAGTTTTCTGAAGGCAGGCCAGCTCAGGAGTAAAATTGCTGGTCCCTCACTTTTTCCAAGTGATACCTCTCTGCATCTCCACAAGCAGTATCTTGTCAAGCTTGGCATACCCATATTTAATTGTCTCCGTGTAGGTGTCTGCATGTATGGGGGGTAACTGAGCTTCCATAATTGTCCATGAAGATTTAGTCCATACAGAAAATGAAGCCAAGTGGGTGATTTAGCTCACCCTAATGTAGATACCTGGAGGCTGATCAGCTCCAGCCTCCACTAAGTGTATTGGCTATAGGGGGAATTTCTTCTTTAACACGCGTGTAGGTATTTATATATAGCATTGAAGTTTAGTTGGCTTGCTTCCAAATTGATTCCCATACCTCTGACCAGAAGCTGAATTACATTGCTAAGGGAATGCCCTCAATGTAGCATTCCAATGGCTGCCTTTAGAGGCTGAAGGCTCAGGGTGGTCTTCACAAAGTCCTATTTAGCTTTCCTAGCTGGTCACATTTCTATTTAATTCTATCTAACACCATTTGATATTTTACCATCTTACCTCACCTCATACAAAGGATTTCTGTTACTAAAGCACTTTTCTTGCTTTAGGCTCCAGTTTTCAGTAAAGTTTCAACTTTCAGTAGAAACTTATTTCCTTTTCGTCGCATCTGACTAATGGTAGGTACCACCTTTCTTTAAAACTGCTGCAATATGCCAGGCTAAATTCTCGTTTATGTACATAATAATCTTGTGTACTACTAAAGAAAAATTATTATAAAATTAGAAGTTTGAAATAAAGCTTTTTGTGGAGTTCAGTCCATTCCTTGTTTGTCATTTTCACTGTTTTGTTTTTAACAGGAGCCCTGTGCTTGTGTTCCAGTGTGTGCACCGTCACGTCATTTGCCTCGACTGTTTCCACTTGTACTGTGTGACTATGCTGAATGACCGTCAGTTCATCCATGACCCGGAGCTGGGCTATTCCCTCCCTTGCGTAGGTATGTTTCGGCTAATTTTCTTTTTAAGAATTTATATTATTTTGATTTCAGGGCAAGATTTTTTTAATCATCTGTTAGTTTTGAGTATATCTGTGGAATTATACTGTTTTCATAGAAGTTGTTTCATTTCATGGAGAAAATATTTTAATACTGAAGTGGGTCTTGTTGAGCATGTAAACTGGTGAATTAACTGGGTTACAAAGGATGTTTTTTTAAAAAGAAGTGCATACTTTCTTCACATTACTATTTGGTAATCATGAAGGGCTACACTTCTGGTTAAAGAAAAAACACCTTGACCTCCACATTGAATTTCAAATTCAGGAACTTTTTAACTTTCTTGGCCTGTCTTCAAGTACTAATAAAAAAGGACTGCAATAGGAATTTCAAATAGCCTTCCTGTTGATGAAGTTATTGGTACTAATTGTCACCTCATTGAGTGAAATGCAGATCTGCAAATGTAATCTACAACCCTGAGAAGGCTGTAGATTATCTGTTTTACCTGAGTAGGAAACAAAGTTTGACTTAACTAAACAAAGCTTACACTGAATCTGAAAGATGTGTTTTGAGAATTGATTTCATTACACTGGCTCATGAACTGCAAAATTCTTCAAAATTTTGCAGTGAAGAAATAGATTAGAATTTATTTTTTCAGTTGCTAAATTTGCATATGTTGATATATGTTTGTCACAAGTGCTGTGTAGTGGTATGAGAATCATTTTCCAACATATTAGAAGCTGCATAGAAGATGGGTTTGCCTGGTTACCTGAATGGCTGACAAATAAGTTTCAAATCACTAGATGGGAGAAAAATTGACAAAATTTCTTAGGAGAGTGGCATTTACTTAATGAGAGGGTGTGCTTTGCGGATATTGAAAGTACAGTAGTCAGAACCATTTAAAATTACTTATTCTTAATTGCTTCAGGAGCAATCTAGCAGTGGTCATCAGTTCATATTTCATTAGAATTGCTGTTTATGTGCTGGCTTGCCAGGTCTCATTTTCCTTCCCCCAACAGTTTGCTCTGCTGCTGCATTTACACACTGATGTCATACTGCACAAAACACTTTTTAATGTTGTGTGAGAAAACTTGTCATGAGGAGCCTAACAGGAACTTTCTACCTGGTGCTCTTACCTTTACATTACTATAGTACTGTGTGGTCAGTCTGTACTCTCAGCCTCCCTCCTTGCTTCTCCCAAAGTTAATCCATTTTCTCCACCCACACAAATTAATTAGCTTCTTGAGATGAATCCACCCCTTTCCACCCCATTTATCAGTTCTCTTCCCTGTTCTCCTGTTGGCTCCTTAGGTTAATGAGTTATCCCAGTGGGGCAGCATGCCACTTGTCTTTCTCCTCTCTTGTGGGCCTCCCTGCAGCCATGGCGAGTGTCACAGTGCTTCCTCCAGTTCAGGCTGCTGTATTAAACTGGTGGCCCTCCCACCTCTGCCGTCTGAAAACCCTTTGCTAGTCATGCTGCACAAAACTTGTACTGGGATTTTTCTGTGTGTCTTGCGACTCTAGTTTTTCTGTGTAGAAGTTTTATTCTGTGTGTTGAACACTATTGGAATTGAGCGGTAGAAGCAGAGAAGGGATGGGATGAGGAGAAAACGCAAGAAGACAGAGCTGAAGTGCTCAAAGATATAATTTCAGTCTTTGAGAGGTGAGAAGGGCCTAAGAAAGGAAGACCTTAAAGATTGTACAAAGGAGGACTGTACTTCTGCTATTCAAATGAGATAGGGTTCTGTTGTGAATGAAAAAGCAGCTATTGCTGCCATTCTAGACTCAGCTGTGTTGTACTTAAAGTGTTAAAATACCTAAATGTGGAAATGCTAAAATACTGCTAATCTTATTCAGAGTTTCAGAACTCCTCAAATTGGAAAGTTAGTTTCATAATACTATACATTAAAGTAGTACTACAAGTAGTAGTAATAGTAATAATAATACAATTGCAATAAATTTTCTCTCTGTTGTCCAGTTAGGAAGAATGTTTCTTGGAAAAATCCCTGCAGGGGTGCTGCCCTGTGCCAGTGAAGTGCATAGTTTAGGCACAGCTCAGTGCAGTGCTTTGCAGTACAGAGATTCTTGACCGAGAGCCGAATCGTGATGCTGAAGGGAAGGACGTATAGTTGTGTCCATATAGGACATAGGTCAGACTCTTTGCCACTTCTGTCAGGCTGCTGAAGACAAATACTAGTTCAGGAGCTGTGCTGGTATCTCTGCACAGAGGTGTGTGGTGCTGTCTAGGCATACCTGCGTGCTCAGAGCCAGCCAGCCTGGCTGTCTCTAAGAAGCACTGACTTTATACTGTGCTGGTGAGCTTTGAGTTGGTGAGGTTCTCAATCACAGTCTCTGAGTATTTGTGGTTTTAAATAATATTCCATATGCACCTAAAATTGATTGCTACCTCTGGCAGTTCTCCTTGTTGTGTTATCAGTTCTGTATCAATAAAAGCATTTGTAAGCATTATCTTTCAGATTGCTTTGTAGGATGAAGAATCTTATCAGTGCAGTTGTAACTTCACTGGTTCAATTCTGCAGCTACCTGAACCTGACTTTCTGGTATGCAAGAGATTTACTGGTTTCTAGAATTAGCTTACATTTTAGTTCAGAACTGGTGACTACTTTTTGTCCTTTGAGAAAGTCATGAGGTGAGTTGCATCATGCTCGTGAAGAAGAAGAATGCCTGAGTTGCCTTCTCTCTTACTGTTCAGCTACAAAGAAATTTAGCCTCCTTCATAGCTATGGATCCAGCACCTTTCATCAGCGATGACTTCAATTAAGAAGCATTCAGAAAAGTATCATGTGATTTTCTTATCCACTTATCATGGCATTCCAACTGAATAGTATAAGATTGTATTTTTGCGATCTACAGTTCAGAATCTTCATTTTTGCAACTGCAATTTGCAGTTGTATTTACATGTGAGGATGATAAAGAACTCTTTGACACAACTTTCTCTAATTACCTCAGTGAAGCCTAAAATTATTTCTCCTTGACTGGAATGAATACCATGGGACATGCCAAGAAAAGACTTTTCTGTGGCAATGTTTGTTTAATAAGTGTTATCTCTAACAGAGCATGTCTCAAAGCAAAATATATTGCATCTGAGCTTTATTGAAAGGTTAGATGTTGATTTGAGCCTGCTTCTAAAAGGAATACAAAACAAAGTTGTATTTAGTGTAATGAGATTTATGTTATGGTAGGTGAGCAGGTTGCAGAGACAGATCAAAACAGTCTGTATTAATACATGTATTTTTAAACATCACAGACTTATACTGAAGTAGTATTTATGGTGTCTTGAACAGAAAATGCTAGCGTTCCAAGTTTGGATTTGGTAAAAATTATTTTGCTTTTCCATTTTCAAGTATTTCCTTAAAAACTAGTCCATTTCTTCAAGGCATATGTGCACACATTGCCCTAGAACTGTACAGGAGGGTTTGGTTTTGTAATTAAGCGTATTTAAATTGTTTGCACTTCCAATTAGTTCTGTTCATTCTAGTGTTTTTCAAAATAGAGATAACATAATGAACATAGCCTGCAGTTTCCATTAACATTTGACTCACTGTTCCCGATTTTTATCAAGGGAATGTACCAATATAGCAAGTTTTTTATATCTTCTATTGGATCAATCTAGAGGTGAAAGCACCAGACACACAAAGAATAAAAATAAACAGCAGCTGCTACAGCAAAGGGTCACTGTGACAGACAAGATCAGTGTTATCACATGTGTATGATAACTTGAGCTGGAAAGGATCTAGGGATTTCACATAAACAGTGTTTCTCAAGTAGGTTTAATTTTTGCTTCCTGGCACAGATATACCAGAAGATGCATTTTGTTATTGTATTCAGGTATTTTGTGCGGTTACATCCTTGTTTTCTTTTGACTTCTGTTAAGTGGCCTAATTAAGCAGGAGATGATAGGTGTTTGGAAGAAGGTTATCATCTCAGCTGATGAGCTATCATAGATCACCTTGATAATGCCATAGCTTCACTTTGCTCCAACACCAAATGTGTCATTGCTGTGATTTTTGGAAGAGCAACATCAATTCCTTAGCATTTAGCTGCTAATCTAGTGCCAGGCAGAGCTACTCCAGCTGAGAACAGGCAGCGCTGAGGACCAGAGCTCTGCGCACGGTAACTGGTGCATTGACAGGATTAGCTGTTCAGAGCAGTGTGGCAGCAGCCCCCTCCTTCAAACCCACTGTATCAGCTCAGAGCAAGGACTTATAGAGAGGAGCTGGCTGGATTTCATTGGTCATTAAAATAAAAAAGTAAACATTACAGATTATACTCTCTCTGCCCTTGTTAAATGGCAACAAAAATCTATCCCATCTCTCTGTATGGTGTCTTGTATTAATGAGGCTTCATGCATAGAAATTTCCATGAATGGTGACCTCCAAGTATCTTTGAAATAATTAATAAGGTGCTTAGAGGGACAGATTTGCATATGCATGAAAGATCATTTATGGTTATTTAGTTACTGTGCAGGGCAAAGAATCTCATAGCATTACCTCAAAGCAGGAATTGTATACAAATATACAGTGTATTACTCCATTTAAACACTACTCTTTCTATGAACACCGCTTCATTTTTAAAATAGCATTACAGCACTATGGGTCTTGGTCCACAGGGTAAAATAAACTTTCACAGATCTTTGGTAGAAGAAAAGTTGGTGAAGCCAAGGAAAGGCAAGGTTTTACACTGCTGTAGGCACTTTGCAAAAATGTCTTTGCATCAGTTTATTTCTTACAAGTAATCATATGCATGATGTATTTTAAAGGAATCCAGATAAAAAACGCAGTTCTCCTGATGACTGTAAAGCACTATTGTATCTGCAAGTAATCTGATTTTACCACACAGATAATATAAATAAATAAGTGAAATTACCATCAGTTTGTGTATGGAACTGCTAATAAAAAGGACTAAAGCTTTAAAGTATAATAAAGTACCTTAAGAGCCATGTTCCATTGCAAGAAACCTTCTGGGGAATGATTGAGGACGCATAT